GCCCTTTTCGCTTCACCTGACACTCTCTCTGTCGATTACGAGCGCTTCTGGACTGCTGCTGAGACCGCCAATGTCACTGTGTGCTCTGTGCGTGGCAAGTCAGTTCCCCGCTCCATGACTGGGCGTGGTCGTCAACGCCAACCCCACGCCCGGTTTGGCCAGCTTGCTCCTTCAAAAACCAGTCGCCCTGGTGATCGCCAACCTGCTTTCTTGGGTTCCTGTGTCCAGCATGCTCAATGGTTGAAGCAACTTCGACGCTTGCAGTCATTTGTCCGACTTGCCCGTGCAAATGTGGATTCTGCTGCTCACCGTGCCCATCGGTTCGGCTTGTGGACCTCTGTCCTCGGGGCGCCTGGGTTCTTCCCTTCGTTTTCTGTCTGGTGGACTCAACGTTCTCTTGCTGTTGGTGACCCTGCGCAAGTCCCTTTGGTTCCACCATGTGCTGACCAGGCCCTTCGGTTTTACGTTGGCTTTGAGCTTGAGTTCTCCCGTCTTGAAACTGCGTTGAAGTCGGCTCGGTCTCATGCGAATCGGCTCTCTAAGGCCTCCGATGTTCAAGCCATGTATCGATCCGTCCAACGTGATGTCCCTGTCCAAGTTGACTCTCTTGTGGGTATGGTGTCTACTACTGTGTCCTTCATCGATGAGGAGGAGTGTGCTCTTGTCAGTGCGGCGCCTGTTCAATGGAATCCTGATGCACCAGTGATGCATTCCTCTGGGCCTTTGGGGATTATCCATGCTGAGGATGACAAGCTTTGGGTCGATTCCTGTTCAGGTGTGTCCAATGGTGATGTCCTGTCCCAGACTTCCTTCACCACCAGCTTGCCTGCTCTTTTCGATGCCTTCGAGTCGTTTTGGCGGAAGCTTTGGAATCAACACGCGTCTGTTCCCTCGTCACAGTGGGATGCCATCATCCAATTTGCTGCTACCCAGCTTCGGCCCTTGCCACCTTCGCACCCTGTTTTCTCGGTTTCAGGTGTTCGGCGTTGCTTGACCAGAAAATCCTCTCGCTCTGCCACTGGACTTGACGGTGTTTCTCGTGCCGATGTCCTTGCTCTGTCAGACGCCGACCTCACTTTGTTGCTGCGGACTTTTCATGTTGCTGGTGTACATGGAGCTTGGCCCCAGCAAGTCCTCAATGGCTATGTGCGGTCGTTGGCAAAATGCCCTGAACCAGAAGGAGTTGGCCATTACAGACCCATCACTGTGTTTTCTATCTGGTATCGGACTTGGAGTTCTGTTACGGCGAGACATTGGATTGCTCAGCTCTCCCAGGTTGTCGACCCTTTCCTGTGTGGTAATGCTGTTGGCTGTCGGGCTGGTATGGTGTGGCGCCATGTCCTGGAACAAGTGGAAGCAGCTCACCGTCAGGAGTTGGATGTTTGCGGCTTCTCCGCCGACATAGTGAAAGCCTTCAATGCCTTGCCACGGGGTCCTGCATTTGCGGCTGCCAAAATGCTGGGCATCGACCATCAAACACTTGTTGCCTGGGCTGGAGCTCTGAGCGGCTTCCGGCGACATTTTGTGATTCGAGGATCTTATTCCCCTGGTGTTGATTCACAGAATGGCTTCCCCGAAGGCTGCGCCATGTCTTGTGTTGCCATGATGATCCTTACCCAGCTGTTCCACCGATGGATGCTTGCTTGTAACATCATGTTCAGGCCTGTTTCATATGTCGACAATTGGGCTGTTCTTCTTCAACATGTGGATTACATGGGTCAGGCAACTGCTGCTGTTGACCGGTTTGCGTCCCTGTTGCAAATCCAGCTGGACACCAAGAAGTCCTTCACCTGGTGCACTTCACTTGAAGGAAGGCGGAAGTTGCGTGCACAGGGTTTTACGGTTTTGCTCAGCACTCGTGAATTGGGCGCCCATGTCGTCTACTCCAGACAGCTGGCCAACAAGACGGCCCTTGATCGTTTTCGCTGCCTGACGGACTTTTGGTCTAAGCTTGCCTGTTCAACGTGTGGATTTCGACAGAAGATCACTTTGATCCTGCGAGTGGCTTGGCCGAGAGCCATGCATGCCATTTCCTCTGTTGTTGTTGGCAAACGTCACTTCGAGGCCTTGCGTACTTCAGCCATGCAAGCTTTGCAGTTGCAGAAACCAGGTGCCAACCCTGTTCTGGAGCTTGGACTTGAGGGGCTTTGTTGTGACCCGTTGGTTTATGCTGCGTGTGAAACCTTTAGGGATGCACGGGCGCTTGGGGTCGATTTTTGCGTGGTCCATGATCTCGATGCCGGTCCTCTCGGCGGTGACGTTCCTCAGTTCAACACCTTGTCTGAGATCCTTTGTCAGCGTTTGCATCAGGTTGGGTTCCAAGTTCACCCTCATGGCCTTGTCGGCAACCGCATTGGTGTGTTTCGTTTTCTGGAATGCCCTTTTGGCGAGTTGCTTCTTCGCATCCAATTGTCCTGGACCACTGTGGTCGCCTCTGCGGTCAGTCACCGGCCTTCTTTCCGTGGATTTGACCAAGTCGATTTCTGTCACACCAGGAAAGCCTACCGGGCTCTCGATCCTTATGACCAAGGTATCCTGCGCAAGCACCTTCATGGAGCAAACCTGACCAACGAACATGCGCAGCATTGGGCCGACCATGTCAAGCCACCTGTTTCAAGTGTGGGGCCTTGGATTCTACACGACACCGTTTGTTGGACTGTCCGGCCACCGCGTTCCTTCGTGACCTCCTTCCTGTGGATTTTGCTGGCGCCATCCCGTCTCTTCCTGCGGTTGTGCTCGAGCATGGCTGGACTTTGCGTGCTGGTTTGATGGATGCCTGGTATCACTACCTGGACAGCCTTCCAAGGGAAGTTGAGTTTCTTTCAGTGCGTGGCCTGCCCCCCCGATCATTGATCTTTTCACCGATGGTTCCTGTTTGGCTCCCACTGATGTGGATTTGCGCTGTGCGGCTTGGTCTGTTGTCTGTGCGGCACCGTTTCGCTTGGACTTTGACTGCTTTGACTTCATGCCCGTGGCTGCCCAAGCCCTTCCTGGTCTAATCCAGTCTGCCTACCGAGCAGAGTTGTTTGCGTTGACGGTGGCTGTCCGGTTTGCCCTCCATGCCAGGTGTGGAATCCGTGTTTGGACTGATTGCCAGAGTGTCATCGATGTCTTTTGTGCTCATGTCCGTGACCGACTCCCTGTCCGTGCCAATTCCAAACACTGTGACCTCTTGTGTTTGTTACAACAACTTTGTGCTGACCTAGGGCCTGGTTTGATCGAAGTCTTGAAGGTGCCTGCTCATCTTCCTACTGGGCAGTGTTCAAATGACCTGGAACGTTGGCTTGTTATGGGCAATGATCTGGCTGACAAAACGGCGAAGCAAGCCAATTTGAACAGGCCTGCTCCTGTGTGGAGACTGCGTGAAGCCTTGGCCGAACAGTTGTCAGTTTGTCGTTTTCAAGCAGATCATGCCAGAGCCCATTTGGTTGCAGTTGGCAAGTTTTGGAGCTCCTCTGTCAGTCAGCCCCGTGATGTACTGCCACCGGCGCACAAGCCTGTCCGCGTCGGTCGTCAAATGCCTACCTTGGTTTGGAATATGCCTGCTGAGCTCGTCCTTGTCGGTCGTGTCTTTGGTCGAACTTTTGGGGTCCATCTTGCCGATTGCCTTGCCCGTTGGATCTCACGCATCCGTGACCCAGCGGCGCCGCTCCGATGGGTCTCTTTTTTGCAGCTGTTCATCAGTTTCCAAAAGATGGAAGGTCCTGTTCATGTGTATAAGTCTGGTGGTGATTGGCATTTGGAAACTGGTGACCTGGCTCGTCTTGGGAACCATGTCCGCTTAGGGTTGCGGGTCAAGTGGTTCAGACTGATGTTTCAGCAGTATTTGCGAGACTGCAGGGTGCAGTTTTGTACCGCAACTGTGAGGCCGTTTTCCCAGTGGATCAGCTGTTTCCGTGGTTCGATTGGTTTTGGGTTGAGTCAATCGATTTTTGATCAGGTTGAAGGGTATTTAGCCTCACAGCTGCGGGAACCTGCCATCGGATCTGGCAAAGTGCTGGATCAGCTCCGTGGTCTTTAGCTTGGCGCTGTGCTTCTCGAGTTGCGTGACCCAGCCGAGCCCGCAGTGCCGAGAGTAAAAAAAAAAGAACATTTTTTATTTTTCCATCTATTGGGAATAATAATCCCAACTGATTATATAATATTCTTCAGAGGGGTTGAAACCACCAACCAGTATATATATATATATATATATGGTCCCGTGTCCCGTGTTCCCACCCCCCCCGCCATGGGATGGGGGGGGGTATGATGCCCCTGTGGTGGTGTATATACATACATACATACCTACATACCTACCTACCTACCTACCTACCTACATACCTACGTACATACATACATACATACATACCATTACATTACCTTACCTTACATTACCTTACCTTACCTTACATTACCTTACCTTACATTACCATACATACATACATACATACATACATACATACATACATACATACATACATACATACATACATACATACATACATACATACATACATACATACATACATACATACATACATACATACATACATACATACATACATACATACATACATACTACATACATACATACATACATACATACATACATACATACATACATACATACATACATACATACATACATACATACATACATACATACATACCAGCATACATACATACCAGCATACATACATACCAGCATACATACCAACATACCAACATACCAACATACCACCACCACAGGCCACAGGGGGGGGGGACCAGAAGAACCATACCACCACCACAGGCCACAGGGGGGGGGGGGACCAGAAGAACCATACCACCACCACAGGCCACAGGGGGGGGGGGGCCAGAAAAACCAGACGATACTGTCCACCCATACCCATTGGGGGGGGGGGGGGGGGGGGGGGGCCAACGCTGCACCATATATACATATGTAAATACACACGTAGCTGCACAGATTCGTATGGACCCCCCGTGAAACACGTCAACACGGCCAGCTCTGGCCCGGACAGGTGATCCATGCGCAGGTCTGGCGTACACGCTCAGCACATGCAGCCTGGTTTGGAATGTGAGATTGGTTTCAATTTGTTATCAAAGACATGTGTATGTCATTCACATGTCTTTTTTTTTCTCTCTCTCTCTCTATATATATATATATACATATCTATATAGATAGATAGATAGATAGATAGAAAGATAGATAGATAGATAAATAAATAGCTTTGGTAATGTATTTTTATTTTTGTATCAGTCATGATACAGTGTCTCGGCTCCATGAGTCAGTTGACGTTTGCACACCTAGGACTACAAACACCTTGATCTGGCAGACACCAGTTTGGTGACACGAGTCTGTGGCGAAGACAACTCCTTGTTGGTGTCCTGGCCCCATTGTACTCAAAGATGTGGTTTCATCGATTTCATCCTCATCCACCATGTTACCAATGGGGGTGTTTAACATGTTTTGAATGTTGACTGGGGCCCCCAATGACGGCTTCGGTGCGACTGAGCTCAGGTGTCCTCGAATCAAGCAAAGCTTATTTCTGACATCAACAAGTTCTTAGGCGCGTGCAGCCACAGAGCTGCTATCCCAAGAGATGCCCTTAATGCAGTGAACTGTGAACCTTTTCTTGATACAGGCTTAAGTCCGCAGTAGATGGTTTGGGATCCCAAATTGCAGACCTCCAAATCTGATGATTTGTATTTGTACCACGAACTCTGGGGCTCGTCGACCAAATGTAGACGGTCTCGAAATCTGATCAGTGCCAGCGCTACTGTGAGGCTTGCAAAAGCACTCCTTCGACATGCCCTTCTATCGCCCAGGTGTTCAGCTTTGCTCCTTGGTACAGATCGGCAAGACTTTGGTGATATGACACCAAGAAGACTCTGCCAATTTTCGCTAAATGGGATCTGCCGCTCAAAAGGCGCCGCCATTAAAATGGTGCGGTGCCATGCTTTGACCATGAAAATTCACATGGTGATCCATTGGTGATCCATTTATGGTGATCAAAACATCCATGGTGATCCAATGATCCAGTGATCCATTGGTGATCCAGTGATCGAGTGACCCCGCGGAGGTATGCTGTGCATCATTTTGTACAATCTCTGCGTCTACAAGGAACTTCGTACTGTTTGGAACAGCTTTCGCGCCTTGATGGAGATCCCAAGATCCAACCATACCATCATGGAGGAGAAACGCGTGGAGATATGGGAGGGACGGTCATCTGTATGTTGGAACGTTCCAAGAATTGGAAGGGAAAATCTACAAGAAAGTAGCAACTCTATGGCCATGTTTCTAGCAAAAAAAAAATCAAATCCCCCCAAACATCCAAAGCGCAGAGGAGTGTTTCTCTTTAAGTCTTTCGGGGTTCTAATAAAAGGGTTCTGCAAATGGTTAGTTTCTTGTTTTGGGATTCTAGGAACCTTTTGAGTTATTTGTGGAGAATCATGTGCTTTGAAATGCTCTCGGAATGACAGTTTCCTCCTTTGTAGCTTGTAACAGTGAGGCAATCGGAAGGCAAGGGTGCTTTCATAATCTCCAAGCGTTGTCACGAAGTCGTGGCATATTCTTGGCCAGGACATTTTCCAAACTGGTTGAAGCATTTAAAGCTTGCTTGGATAGTTTCACCAATGGTTCAACTTGGCCAGCCCAAAGCAACTTGAAGGAGAACAGATTTAAGACAATTTCTCGGCCGCGCTTGGTCCTGTTGCTCATTGCCCATGCTGCAACTCTGGCAGAAAATGGAATCATGTTGCGAGGAAGCGCGGTTGGAGACTATTTATATCTATATCTCTATCTCTATCTCCATCGCTCTCTCTCTCTCTCTATCTCCATCTCTATCTCTATCTACATATCTATCTATCTATATATATATATATTATAGATACATATGTATATATATATATACACATCATACATATATATATATACACATGTATGAACATGCAGCATGCAGACATTTTGCATGTCAACAGTAGGGGTTTGGACTGGGACAAGCAGAAGACTCTCTAGTGATGCTCTGTAGCTTTATTCTTCCCGGGTTCACCTGTGTAATCCAGGCAAATCACATTCAGTTTTGCGGGTGGCATCTGAAAATAGGCTAATGTGGGTAAAACAAGGTCATTTGCACCATCCGCCGCCAGTACCATTTTTATAGGTGGTATATGGTGGTATGTATAAACCATTCCCAGTCATGGCTGGTAAAAATGACATTGTTTTTAACCACAATTATTGATATTTATTGGATGTTCCACTTTTTCACCATCTATTTATTGGTATTTATGACTTTCACCAGATCAAATTCCTGAAATCTCATGGATGTGGCCGATCAAGGTACGATTTTCGTTGGCCTGGGCTCTGTTGTTCTCCGGGGTCCAATGGCTGGCACGGACCACGTCCATTGTGGATTTGATTTTGAACGCCGTAGCACTGGCTGGAATCCTGGACAGCCGGGGGCTCTGGTGACATGGATGACGAAGCAAAGGTGAAGAATGGTGGATAAGAAGAGAAAATGAAGATAGGTAGAAAAAAAAGCCAAACAAGGAAGAAGAGCAGAAATGATGAGAATGGTGGAAACATTGAGAACAAGATCTTTATTGCTGGTTCGTTGCGTATATGTGCCTTGTGGCCTTTTTGTGTCTTTAAATCGTGTCGATGTCCGCGCAGGAAATCGATGAATTTTTCTTCGTGGCCATGGTGCCCACAAAAGTCCAGATGGCGATCCAAAAATTGGAACCGATCAAGGTGCCTTGATGCTGCCTCGACCGATGCCTGGCTGATAGGATAGACACGTCACCAGGCCATGGTGAAGAACTTCAGGGATTCAAATGCCGCGGGTGAAAAAAATACCAGGTGTGAAAACGCAAATTCGTTGGATTGGAAGATTTTTTCAAGCAAGACTGAAAACCATATCATTGGTGTAGAGGAATGCACACTCCATCTGGCAGATTTCAACGCTAGTACTGCGCCTTTTTCTGGGTATAGTGACTGGAATCTGGTTTACCTCTCTAAATATCGTCCGGAGTCCAGATACATAACTCCAATAACTTGGGTTTATGGTAGATGTACCTATACTTCTTATGAGGGTTATAAACCAACGTTCACATCACTGGGGGGCACCACCTTGCAGGTGACCTATAAGAAGTCGCACAGTGAACGGGAGTCCGTGATACACGGCATCTTTCTGCTCTGTGCCACCTGGCGAATCGATCTGAGGGCCTTATGGGATGATACCTAAGACGACATCATATGACTATCATATGACCTCATTCAATTGATGTTCAGTGTTTTGATCTTCATTTTCACCTGCAAAAAATCGACAAAATATGGCCGCACTTTCTCCGGAACGATTGGAAGACTTTGACCCGTTGATGCCATAGCGCCAAAGCCGCCGTTAAGGCCATCTTATTACCATGGTTCCTGTTGTTGGAGCCTCTCAGCATGGAGATGTTGGAGGTCAAGCATCTTGGCCATGGCTGGGTGGCTCCCACTTTGGAGATCTTCAAAATTCCCAAAATCCCATGAAAATACCATGAAATTCCCGAAACACTTGTCAGATTTTACAACTTCGAATCAAAGTTGGCTGAAAGAGTTTTTCTTTAGGCTTTAAGACTGTGTAGGTTGGATCGAGCTGGCTGTCAGATTTGCCGATGGATGCCGATTTTACAGGGCTTGTGATGTGGTTCGGTGCAACTTGTGTGATGGTGCGGAACTTGTGTTTGCGGTGCAGCAAGCACCATCTTGGATATAGGTTTGTCAAAAAATGATGGATACCCAAAATCTTTTTTCTGGAACATATTCCCTTGCAGTTGGGGGTGCCCCAGATTCAGATCTTTGAATCATTAAAAAACACAATTAAATTTGAGGGTTTTGCACTCATTGCAAACTTGTTCAGAAACATCGACGCTGCCTACCGCGGGAACTAACCCAGCGGGATGTATATTTGTGTGTATAGCATATACACATATATTTATATACATATATATATATTATTACTATATAATCTAGTATAATATAATATAATACGATATGGTATAATATAATATCATATTATATATATAATATAAAAATATGATAATATACAATATATAATATAATGATATAATATAATATAATATATAATATATGATCTATAATATATAATATATAATATATAGTATATACTATATAGTATATAATATATAATATATAGTATACAATATATAATATATAATATATAATATAGTATATAATATATAATATATAATATATAATATGTATAATATAATATATATATAATAATATATAAAATAATATATATAATAATATATATAATAATATATATATATAATATAAAAAATATAATATATATAATATAATATATATACATAATATATAATATATGTAATATATGTAATATATATATAATATAATATATAATATATACAATATATATAATATATAATATATATATAAAATATATATATGTAATATAATATAATATATATATAATATATATATAATATATATATAATATAATATATATAATATATAATATATATAATATATATATATAATATATATATATAATATAATATATATATATATGTAATATATAATATATATAATATATATAATATATAATATATATAATATATATAATATTTATAATATATATAATATATAATATATATAATATATATAATATATATAATTTATATAATATATATATAATATATATATAATATATATAAGATATATAATATAATATATATAATATATATATATATATAATATAATATATATAATATATACAATATATATATATATAATATAATATATATAATATATAAAATATATATAATATATATAATATATAATATATATAATATATATAATATATAATATATATAATATATATATGATATATAATATATATAATATTTATAATATATATATAATATAATATATATTATATATATACATTATATAATATATATAATATATATATTATATATAATATATATATTATATATAATATATATAATATATATATAATATAATATAAATAATATATAATATATATATATATATATAATATAATATATATAATAATATATATATATATGTATAATATATAATATATATAATATATAATATATATATAATATACAATAATATAATATATATAATATATATAATATATATAATATATATAATATATATAATATATATAATATACATAATATACATATAATATAATATATATATAATATATAATGTATAATATATAATATATAATATATAATATACACATATATAATATATAATATTTAATATATAATATATAATATATAATATATAATATATAATATAATATACAATATATAATATATAATATATAATAAATAATATAATATATATGACACAATATACATAACATAATATAGATATATCATATAATATACATACATATATATGATATGATATGATCTATATGATAATATATATCTATGATAATATAAATATATATATATGGTATAATATATATATATGGTATAATATATATATATATGAATTATATATATATATTTAATATAGATTATAACATAATATAAAGAAAAAAACATAACATAAAATACGATAACATAATATGATATAATGTATGTGATATATATATATATAAATTTGTATACGCATATTATAAGTATATGTAAACATATGCATATACATTGTGTATGCAAAACCACGCATACACATGATTTCGTGACCATTTTGAACTGCTTTTTTGGAGCACATTTCAGATCAATATGCATGAACCCAAAAGAAATCTGTGCAAAGGCACAAAAACCCAGCTCCCGATGTCTGAACGAGGCACCAAATGTGTGATGGCATTCAAAACTTTGTGATCGCGTACAATGCGGAAGTGCAAATGTTTCTGGGCAACCCGAACGCTGCGTTTTTGTTGTGGAGATCTGCAGAAATGGAATTGGCTAAAACTTATCCCAACTTTCGAGCCATAGGCAAAGCGCATTTGCAGCCAAAGTGCAAACCTTGGTGCCCATTAGCTCCTATGTGAGAGTTCCATGTGTGGGGTGAAATGTTGTGTACCCTCTGGTAAACGTTTAAATAACTTTGGAAAATCATCAGTTTTAATGGGAAAATACACTACAAATGGCAATTTTCAATAGCTATGTTAGTTTACCAGAGGGTATGTTCTTGTTCCCCACTGTTCTGAATGAATCTCGTAGTTGTATTTATCTGCTACACCCAAGAAATACTCTACTTTTCTTGATGGAATGCAGCTGAATCTTTCGCAGTCGTCAGCCGCTTAGGGCAGTGGGCTACGTGACGACCAACGAGCTGAAAAATGAGATTGAGACGCTTTCGGAGTTCGCCGTTGATTCCTTCAAGCACAAATCCGAGATTGACACTCACTTCAAAATTTGTGGCATTTGGGGGACGGCAACATAAGACTTGGTCCAAGTATGGGATTTACACTTTAAGTTCGGGTTTGTATATATATATATATATATGTATATATATATATATATACATGTAACATGTATATGCCTGCGGACCGAAAACCGTTCCCGTAAAACGCACGTTTTTGAATATCGCGATTGTGGGGTGGAGAGGGGTGGGGTGGGGGGGCATGTTAACGTTCCTTGTACTTCGTACATAATATATTGCCATGCTGCTGAGATCTCTGGGATTGTTTACTACGTTACATGTGCTGATGGGGTGGGGTGAGGGGTGGGGTGGGGGGGCATGTTAACGTTCCTTGTACTTCGTACATAATATATTGCCATGCTGCTGAGATCTCTGGGATTGTTTACTACGTTACATGTCGCTACGCTGCTGAGATCTCTGGGATTGTTTACTACGTTACATGTCGCTACGCTGCTGAGATCTCTGGGATTGTTTACTACGTTTCATGTTGCTACGCTGCTGAGATCTCTGGGATCGTTTACTACGTTACATGTTGCTACGCCGCTGAGATCTCTGGGATCGTTTACTACGTTATATGTTGCCACGCTGCTGAGATCTCTGGGATCGTTTACTACGTTACATGCTGCTACGTTGCTGAGATCTCTGGGATCGTTTACTACGTTACATGTTCTATGTGGAATCTGATGAAAAAGTCAAGTCCCAGCAACTTGAGTGCCAAAAGTGACCTCTTGATGGTGTATGCCAGAGCTTGGCAATGGAGACGCATTCACAAGAATGCTGACTGCCAGCTGATAACGGTGCATGCGTTGCAGCGATGACGCTGAAAAGCCAAAAAACGCGCCCCAAGTTTTTCCAGGATTTCCAATCATCAAATCAGCACGGCACTGTGGTAAAATCACCATTTTTTTTTAAAAACGTGCGTTTTATGGGCACAGTTTCCGGTCCGGCGGGATGTATCTGTATATGTATATATATGTGTATATGTATATATATATATATGTATATGTATATATATATATATATATATGTATGTGTATATATATATATGTATATGTATATATATGTATATGTATATGTATGTATGTCATGTACATATATATATATATATGTATACTATATATAAACATATGTATGTATATAAAATATATGTATGTATTTAATGCATGTATAAATATGTATATGTATATATATATATATTTGAATGGAAACTTTTGGATTGCGGGTCCCCTATTTTCAGACAAACCCACGATGTGTGAACAAGAAGAAAACTCGGAGTTCGAATTCTGGTCACTACATGTCATACAGGTGCCAGCAAATGACTGCATACATCCAGATCAAAATCTAGGGCTCTTGCAGTGCAAACATTAAATCCAACTTATGTTAAGCCTGTGCTGTACACACACATATATATATACATACATATACATATACACATACACATACACATATACATATACATATACATATACATGTACATACATACACATACACATACATACACATACACAGACACATACACATATATATACATAAAATACACATACACATACATACACACATACATACACACATACATACATACACACATACATACACACATACATACACACATACATACACACATACATACACACATACACACATACATACATACATACGTACGTACGTACGTACATACATTCATCTACATATATCTACATATATCTACATATATCTACATGTATCTACATGTATCTACATGTATCTACATATACATACATACATATACATATATACATACATCTATATTTGTATAAATGTATACATACATCCATCCATCCATCATGCACATCCATCCATTCGTCCCTCCGTCCGTCCGTCCATCCAGGCATGCATGCATACCTACCTACCTACGTACCTACGTACCTACGTACCTACGTACCTACGTACCTACGTACCTACGTACCTACGTACCTACGTACCTACGTACCTACGTACCTACGTACCTACGTACCTACCTACCTACGTACCTACGTACCTACGTACCTACGTACCTACGTACCTACGTACCTACGTACCTACGTACCTACGTACCTACGTACACACGTACATACGTACCTACGTACCTACGTACCTACGTACCTACGTACCTACGTACCTACGTACCTACGTACCTACGTACCTACGTACCTACGTACCTACTTACCTACGTACCTACGTACCTACGTACCTACGTACCTACGTACCTACGTACCTACGTACCTACGTACCTACGTACCTACGTACCTACGTACCTACGTACCTACGTACCTACGTACCTACGTACGGACCTACCTACCTACATACATAATACATACATACATGCATCCATGCATCCATGCATCCATGCATCCATGCATCCATGCATCCATGCATCCATGCATCCATGCATCCATGCATCCATGCATCCATGCATCCATGCATCCATCCATGCATCCATCCATCCATCCATACATACATACATTCATACATACATACATACATATCTCTACATATACATACGTATATATACATATACTGTATATATGTGTATATATATATATAAATATATATGTATATAAATATATATGTATATATATATATGAATATATATATATATATATTTGTATACATACATGCATGCATGCATCCATCCATCCATGCACATCCATCCATTGGTCCGTCCGTCCGTCCATCCATGCATGCATGCATGCATACCTGCATACCTGCATACCTTGTGTCATTGTTACCTTGTTACCTTGTTACCTTGTTACCTTGTTACCTTGTTACCTTGTTACCTACGTACCGACGTACCGACGTACCTACGTACCTACGTACCTACGTACCTACGTACCTACGTACCTACGTACCTACGTACCTACGTACCTACGTACCTACGTACCTATGTACCTATGTACCTACGTACCTACGTACCTACGTACCTACGTACCTACGTACCTACGTACCCATGTACCTACATTGACATACGTACCTACATACTTACATACCTACTTACCTACATACCTACATACCTACCTACCTATGTACCTACGTACCTACGTACCTACGTAGCTACGTAGCTACGTAGCTACATACCTGCATACCTGCATACCTGCATACCTGCATACCTACACACCTACACACCTGCACACCTACACACCTACATACCTACATATCTACATATCTACATACCTACATACCTACATACAGACAGACAGACATACAGACAGACATATACATACCTACCTACCTACCTACCTACATACATACATACATACATACGTACGTACGTACGTACATACGTACATACATACATGCATACATACATACTTACATACTTACATACTTACATACATACATACATACATAGATACATAGATACATAGATACATAGATACATAGATACATAGATACATAGATACATAGATACATAGATACATAGATACATAGATACATAGATACATAGATACATAGATACATACATACATACAAACATACATACAAACATACATACATACATACATACATTACATACATTACATTACATTACATTACATTACATTACATTACATTACATACATACATACATACATCTCTCTCTCTCACTCACCATGTTAAGGATATGCCGAAGTATTTCAACATGCTGCGAAGCAAGTACGAGTTTGAAGGTGCCCGAATCCGTTCGATGGCCGAAGCTTTTCTGCAAAACACGATTGTGATGTTGCTGTAGCGGGGAAGATTGTTGGGTGTCAGAGATCTGTAGCTATGCAACATGAGGTGAAAAAAACATGCCTCTAAACACCCCAAACCCACAATTCTCAGCAATTTTGAATGTTGATATCATGTCAGTCAATAGAGCATCAACCCGGATGTCAACTTCCGCTCCCAAGCCTCGGGTTTTTGAACTCTTGACGCCCCGTGTTTATTCTCAGAGTGTCTCCATCCTCCCTGAATCTCAAACCTACTCTCCTTCACAAGGCCCTGCGCCAAATTTTCGTTAAAAGTTCCTACTTTCACTGGCTACAGCCCTCAGATTCCCCCTGTAATGCCTTTCTTCTCTCTTTATCATATCCTGTCCTTCCCTGCATTCCTTCTCTATGCAAATTTCTGATTCTCAGATCAAGTATCTCGGTCATATCCTCCGTCATCAAGCCTCCCCTGAATTTCATATTTGTTTTAACCCTCCCCTTTCATTAAGAACCATTTCATCCCCTTTCCGTCGAAGTGCCCCTTGCGCACACTGGCCAGAAATCACTCTCGCAGAAGCTTCACATCGAGTACAACAATGTTGAAACTCTCTTCCCCTTTTGGGAGATTTTTCTCCACTCCTTTTACCTTCATTTCACCATTGTCGAACTCAACCAATACTCTTCCGCCAGCATGAAACAGTGGTACAATACTACTTGTTACATTCATCTCCTCCGCCCAATTGCTGAAGACAGAGGACCCAAAAGTGAAATAGGCAACAGAGCTTGGGGATTGCTGCTGCGGACGTGTAGTTCTCTGCGAACTGCATATCGTTTGTGAATAACAAGAGAAACCAGTGAACCCGAATGCAGACACGCAAATTACTTTTGTCAAACAAGCTATTGCAGCAATCTTGTAAATTTTTCCCCTGTTATCGTACCAGTGTAAACTGTGGAGTGTGGAATGGGGAGGAGTGCAGAGTGTGGAGTCAGTGAAGACAGTGAAGACAGTGAAGACAGTGAAGATGAGTGGGGAATGTAATGTGTAGGGTCTAAAGTGGGGATTGTGGAATCTGAAGTGTCGAGTGTAAAGTTTCAAGTGTGGAGTGTAAAGTGTAGAGTGTGGAAAGTGGAGTGTAGAGTGTAAAGTGTGGAGCGCACAGTGTAGGTAGACTGTGGAGTGTAAAGTGTAGAGTATGGAGTGTCAAGTGTAAAGTGTGAAGTGTAGTGTGTAGAGTGTAGAGTGTAGAGTAGAGGGTGTCAAGTATAAAAGGTGAAGTGTAAATTGTAGAGTGTCAAGTGGAAAGTGTGGAGTGTAACGTGTAGAGTGTGAAGTGTCAAGTGTAGAGTGCATAGAGTAAAGTGTGGAGTGCCAAGTGTAAAGTGTCAAGGGTCAGTGTGAAGTGAAAGTGTAGAGGGTGGAGTGTCAAGTGTAAAGTGTAAAGTGTGGAGTGCCAAGTGTAAAGTGTGAAGTGTGAAGGGTAAAGTGCAAAGAGTAGAGTGTGGAGTGTAAAGTGTAGAGTGCAGATTGTGAAGTGTGAAGTGTGAAGTGCAGAGTGCAGAGTGCAGAGTGTAGAGTGTGGAGTGTCAAGTGTAGAGTGTCAAGTGTAAAGGTTGAAGTGTAAATCGTAGAGTGTCAAGTGTAAAGTGCGGAGGGTAAGGTGTAGAGTGTGGAGTGCCAAGTGTGAAGTGTACAGTGTAAAGTGTGGAGTGCCAAGTGTAAAGTGTCAAGTGTCAGTGCGAAGTGTAAAGTGTAGAGTGTGGAGTGTCAAGTGTAAAGTGTGAAGTGTAAAATGTAAAGTGTAGAGTGTGAAGTGTAAAGTGTAGAGTGTAAAGTGTGGAGTGTGAAATGTGGAATGTCAAATGTAAAGTGTGGAGTGTAAAGTGTAGAGTGTGGAGTTTCAGGTTGTAAAGCGTAGAGTGTGGAGTGTAGAGTATAGAGTGTGGAGTGTGGAGTGTAAAGTGCGGAGTGTACAGTATAAAGTGTAGAGTGTGGAGTGTGGAGTGTAAAGTGTAGAGTGTGAAGTGTAAAGTGTGAAATGTTGAGTGTAGTGTGTGCAGTGTCATGTGTAAAGTGAGGAGTGTAAAGTGTAGAGCGCGGAGTGTCGAGTGTCAAGTGTGAAGTGTAGAGTGTGGGGTGTCAGGTGTCAAGTGTAAAGAGTAACGTGGACAGTGTAGGGTGTGGAGTGTCAGGTTTAAAGTGTAGAGTGTAGAGTGTGGAGTGTGGAGTGTAAAGTGTCAAGTGTGAAGTGTAGAGTGCAGAGTGTCAAGTGTAAAGTGTAAAGTGCACTCTCACGATGACCCACGCCTGCCACGCGATGTGCATGTTGCCACCACCTGATGCAGCCCTAACAATGGGATTCGCCAAAAACACGCAACACGACATGTCCAAAGTGTCGCGCCTGCCACGCAAAATGAAAATGGACCGCTCCAAAGCGCCATGGAAAAATGATGAAAAATGCAAGCCATCTTCTGAAAAGGACGCAAAAGCATCGCGCCTGTCACACAGAACGACTTTTGACACGTTATGAAGCACATGGGAATGTCAGGAAGTGCCACGCCTCCCACGCAAAACGGCGTTGCCCGATGTTTGAAACCTCCAAAAGTGACCGCTTTTCCAGCACTTCCCATAGGCACGGCCATAGCGACCTCATGGCGGACGGTTGCCAACGATTGCGAAGCGTTGCGAACGGCTGCGGGCGGTTGCGGACGTGAAAGCGGCGTCGAGCCAACAAGTCCCAATCCCCATAATCCCAGACCCCCAAAGTCAAACGAGAACCTTTCGCTACACATTTGGGAAAAATAGAGCATTAATCGTTTAATTCTCTTCATTGCCCCAGGACAAACCTAATGTTGCTGCCTTGCTAAGGAGGAGGCTGAGTATTTTCCGTTCTGCTGGCAAACCGAAGTGCTACATCCCAACGGTTCTTTTTGGAACCACGAAAACATGACGAAGATTATGCAAAGTCGTCTAAATACCATAGCCTTCAAGTGCCCTGGGGCGTCAAGGTTGGAGTGGAGAGAATCACTTGTTGATCGGTCTTGAACGGAGTGGGTTTTTGATTGGTTGGGTTTCCCTCTGGTCTAAAAATTGGTACGGGTCGACATTCATGACCCTGCGACCTTTTTTGGATATCAAATTTTTGACACCAAAACTAAACCATGCATATATGTATGTATATATGCAGCATGCACGTATGTACGTATGTATGTATGTACGTATGTACGTATGTACGTATGTACGTATGTACGTATGTATGTATGGAATGGAATGGAATGGAATGGAATGGAATGGAATGGAATGTAATGTAATGTATGTATGTATGTATGTATGTATATATATATATATATGCATGTATCAGAAACAAACATATATCATAAATAAGTCAATAAATGAATATATACATAGATAAATAAATAAATAGATTCGATTGAACGCGCAGTGGCGGAAATTTTCACATCAGCCACTCAGCCACTGAGCCACTCTGGCAGAGTGGCTGACGCAGCCACTCAGCCACTCAGCCACTCTGAGTGCTGATTGGCTGAGTGGCTGCTCCAGCGACTGTGGCAGAGTGGCTGAGTGGCTGAGTGGCTGCTCCAGCCACTCTGGCAGAGTGGCTGAGTGGCTGCTCCAGCCACTCTGGCAGCGAGGGAGAATAGTGGCTGCATCAGCCACTCTGGCAGAGTGGCCATGGCCAGAATGGCTGAGTGGCTGAGTGGCTGCTCCAGCCACTCTGGCAGAGTGACTGAGTGGCTAGAGTGGCTGCTCCTCCGCCACTCTGGCAGAGTGCCTGAGTGGCTGCTCCAGCCACGGCTCAGTGGCAGAGTGGCTGAGTGGCTGCTCCAGCCACTCTAGCAGAGTGGCTGAGTGGCTGCTCCAGCCACTCTGGCAGCGAGGGAGAATAGTGGCTGCATCAGCCACTCTGGCAGAGTGGCCATGGCCAGAATGGCTGAGTGGCTGAGTGGCTGCTCCAGCCACTCTGGCAGAGTGACTGAGTGGCTAGAGTGGCTGCTCCTCCGCCACTCTGGCAGAGTGCCTGAGTGGCTGCTCCAGCCACGGCTCAGTGGCAGAGTGGCTGAGTGGCTGCTCCAGCCACTCTGGCAGAGTGGCAGAGTGGCTGAGTGGCTGAGTGGCTGCTCCAGACACTCTGGCAGCGACTGTGGCAGAATGGCTCAGTGGAGTGGCTGAGTGGCTGGTTTAGCCACTCTGACAGAGTGGCAGAGTGGGTGGCTGGCAGAGTGGCTGAATGGCTGCATCAGCCACTCTGGCAGAGCGGCTGAGTGGCTGCGGCAGAGTGATCAATGAAATGGACGGATAAAGTTTTTAAACATTTCGATATCCAAGCAAGAGTATATGACATTGACAGCAACTTGATTTACAAACATAACCCTGTAAACTTCAACTGCCATAGCTACATAACTTCAACGGATTGATTAAGAACAGCCACATATACACTTTGAACCATAACCTGAAATCACTTGAAAAGAAAGAAAGTGGTGATGAACTCTACAAGTTCAGGATTGGAAACAACTATTACAACGACTATTTGGTGAGCAAAGAATGGCTATGGTGTGCTGTATGAAACTAGAGCAACAGATTTCAATAATGTATATTTTTTCAAAAATGATAAAGCCGACGAAGATATGTTTAAGAATTTGGTAGTTAACTCTTTTAAAAACAAAGTTGACGGTTACAAAGGACAAGGCAGAACAGGAGGAAGAGAAATAGTTGATGAATACATTGATGAACATGTTTGAAGATGTTCCAGGGTTGTTGTGCAAACTGTGGAGTTAAATTTATTCTTGATACCAGAGGTGGCAAATTGTCAAGTAACTTTACGGCGCAGAGAGGTGATCATGGACTGTGCCATTCTATTGACAACTGCGAGGCTTATTGTTGCCACTGCAATTCTTCTTCACATTAGATTTTTTCAAAATAATAAACTTAATAAAATATTGATATGAGTAAGCAAGAAATCATAGGAAACATATATTTCGATAAAGCAGGGTTTGGTTCCCAAAACACTACTTTGAAGGATGCAAGAGAGAAAAACAAATCCATTACTATGAAAGATGTTGAATAATTTTTCAAAAAGAGTGTAGAGATAAAAATGAACCCGAGAGGCTATAACAGCTTTGTTGCTCCACATAACAATCATAGATACCAAGTTGATATATTCTTTATTTCCAAAAAAAATAAAGGTAAAACAAAGATACAGAGCTGGATTAGTCTGTATTGATTGTTTGAGTAAGTATGCTGTCGTAGTCCCAGTAAGAAGGAAAGAGACAGGCAGTGTTATTCAAGGAACAAAGAAAGCGATAGAAAAGATGGGCAAGACGGGCAAGAAACCTGAAATCATATACACCGACGACGAGAAAACTATAGCAAGTGGTGAATTCCAAGCATATGTAGAAAGCGAAGGCATTGAATTGTATAGGACAAGAGGCCACCCTGCTTTTGCCGAGCGTTTTATAAAGACTTTTAAAAACAAATTATGCAAAAAAGTTGAGAACGATGAAAAGAATAAAAAACGAATATACAATGGATAGACTACATAGATGAAATTATGTTAACTTACGATAAAAATCTGTGCATTCCGCTACTGGTCAAACACCGTATAAAGCCAGAGAGTCAAGATTAAACATTGCAATGAAAGCAAAGAAACAGAGGCTCTATCCTGAACTATCTGTGGGAGACAAAGTAAAAATCAAAAGGAAGAAAGCAACAACGGAGAAGGAGAGAACCTCACACTTTTTGAAAGGTGAGTATACAGTAGTGTCCATTGATGAAAAATTGAATGAAACATATTATACATTAGAAGGATACAATAGACCACTATTGAGGCATGAATTGCTGAACATATAAATTACCATTTACAGGAAATCTACTTAAAGGAATATTATACATATATATATATATTAGCGACATGTCATTCAGTGATACAAGTAGTGAACGTGAAATCAATCAAGAAGAATACATCAAACAAAAAATCTTAAGCTGTAAATGTAGTGAATATGCAACAATAAAATGAATTACCAAAAATAAATTTACCGATGGTATTGGTAATAAAATTTGTGAATATGTAGCCTGTAAAAGTTGCTCAAATATAATGAATCATTTTGATTCAATTGAAATTGATATTAACCCTTGTGACGATGATGATATTGATGAACAAATTCAAATATACGTTTATAATACTTTAGTGAATGAATTTCCAGATGATAAAATGAATTTAATATTGAATGAAAAAGAAATGAAACATTATCAATATTATGGACAAGGATTGAAAACATGTTGTAACAATTCATATTCTACTGTTGCATTCTGCATGTTAGAAATGAATATTAATGATGCTGATTGTATGGATGATAACTTTAATCATGAAACCTTTATAGATTGTTTAAGAAAAATATTGTTGTATATCAAAGCCAATGAACAGTTTATTGGAAATACAATTATTGACGAGAATAAGTTTGACAAAGTGTATGAAAGAATACAACAAGGAGTTTATATTTGAACCCCATAAATTTTCATGTCAGATAATATGAAATTTTATGATATAAGGAAATACACTTAAAATTAAAAGGATAATACCTTATAATAGTATGGAGAGTAGAAAGTGCACAAAGTGTGACAAAACAAAAATGGTGACGAGTTCAATGGAATGAATAGAATGTGTATTGAATGCTTGGACAAACAAAAGGAGAGTAACAAAGTATATAATCAAAAGGAAGTATTCTGCGACATTTGTCAACGGAATGTGAAACAATGCAGGTTGTCCAAACATCTTAAAACCGACAGGCATTCCAACAAGGAAAAACTCAAAAAGGAAGAAGAGAAAAAACAAATATATATGGAGGAATACTTAAAAGATGATGAAGCCAGAATTGCAAAATTGAAACAAATCTGGAAAACCATTACACCAAAAAACTTTAAAATACTTTAACCCCATAATTTTTCATATCATAATATATGAAAATTTATGATACAAACATAGGAATGTTAGACGTGGATGATTTAGATTTATGATATTATTTAATGACAATATATTATGATAAAATATTATGATGAAATTTATGATATGAATTTATGTGATGATGGATGATGATGAAATGATGTGGGATGACGATGTATGAAATTATGTGGTTTTATTTTGTGTTGATACTGTGATGAAATGATATGAACTGTTGTGAAAATGAACTGTGGTAAATGATGAAATGATGGAGGTGGATGATATGACCTTAGGTGTGTTTGTGTCTAGCTATATTATATATATAATATAATATAATATATATATATCACTTCTTTAATATCATACATATTAAAACATTGGAACTATAACCAAATGTCTCATTCCTTTCGCCATGATGATCCGCAGAGACCCACAGAGCGAACCCCTTTAACACAAATGACTAATGACTTCTTTCTCACAACCCTTTGACACAGATGTTTGCCTGTTTGCCTAAGATTCCATTCAACCCATAAGAATATATGCCCCAGTGCCTGGATGAATAAAGGAAGGAACCCTAAATTAGCATAAAACCTCACTTGAGATACTACCCAGACCTAAGAAAAATTAGGTCTGGGTAATATTGCTTACACTCCAATGGCTCTCCAGCCACTCAGCCACTCTGCCAGAGTGGCTAGACCAGCCACTCTGCCGCAGCCACTCAGCCTCACTCAGAGTGGCTGAGTGGCTGAGTGGCTGCGTCAGCCGCTCTTACCAGAGCGGCTGAGTGGCTGAGTGGCTGGTCCAGCTTCTCTGGCAGAGTGGCTGTGGCTGAGTGGCTGCTTCGATTTCGCGAGCCGTGTTGCACATCCACTCTAAAAAATACATAGATAAATAAAAAGATTTAAGTAGATTTAAAATATGTATATATATATTATAATATATATGTATATCTATATCTATATATATATATATATTTATATACACATGACCATATCTTTACATCCTTTTTTAATTAATGTCTTGGATTCTGGTAGCAACATCAGACAATGTCCTGATCAGGTTTTTCCCGCACTGGTGGGTCTCTACCAAACTGACGTGGGCTTACCATATGTTAGAACTACTAGTTGCGGGTAACCAGGAGTTGACTGGGATTATGAAAGCCCATTGATAAGGAACCCCATCTTCGTACCAAGAGATGTCGGGCGGCTTTGTGTTTGATTAGTGTTTGAGCACCAAAATTCGCCACCGCGGCATGTCCAACAGGTACAATATGCCTGAAAATTCGACTTGTGATGACTTCCTGCCTTTTTGCGACCGCCCAGATGCACGTTTGCTACGCCTCAGCTGTGGCGACACTTGTGGTTGCATGTCGTTGGACTGATGCTCCAGTGATACACGACAATCACAACCGCGTGATTTTTCACCCGTTTATTTTTTCTCCTGAACTGGCCAGTCCGTCACCGTTTTGATCATAAAAAATCAAAAAAAAAACAACATTAAGTGAATAAATCATTCAACAAAAACCAACATTAGACTCCGGTTGCCTATGGTTTTATAGATTCAAGTCATCCATTTTGGTAGCGGCTTTTCATGGACTTTCCCGGACTCCGAGGTTGCAGCGATCCATCATCCTTGCCATGGTGGAAGGTCACAATGACAGGCTGTGGAGACTTCTGCCTCATGGCCAGGCTCGGGATCGAATATCTTCACCAAGGATGGGTTTTTTCCTTCCGGAAGCGTTGGAAAAAAATGTGTGCTTTTATTTTTTTTGGGGGGGGTAGGTTGGCGTCCTGGAGGGTCTAGGAAGGTGTTCTTTTTTTTCTGTGGGGATTCCTCTTGGATTCCTCTTGGCAAAGTGTGCAGAAGCAGAAGTGAAGGCAATGGCCAGATCGTTTATAATTCAGAAGTTTGTCACAATTTCAACTACCAGGGTTTGGTGTACCGACACAGACAGATCGACTCAGATAGACGGATGGACCATCGTGGTTCCGCCGCCAGGGCATGGAAGATGCGAAGCGAAACGGAGTGCCAGGATCTAGCGACGCCGCAAAGTAACCAAAGCTGGCATGCCTTCTGGGATTCATACGTCGATGTCATCATAGTTTCTCCTGGCGGCACTGGGACGTTTTTTTTTTTTAAATTGTCTTTTGTTGTTCTTTCTCTGGAGGAACAGAATCACTTGTCAGTCAGTGAGGGGCGAACATTTGTTCAACTTGAAGTAGATAAAGACCCTCCGACCTGCCACGCCCATGTGCAAAATGATTTCTGACAGTTTGGTATGCCCCAGAAGTTTAAAATCCACCAGTTCAAAGCCTCAGATGGGCCCATCAATTCCTTCCCTCATGGCATTCAGCTTGAGGCTTACTATGGAAGCGATCGGTTTGAGTTCGCCAACTATACCACGGGTGTGGTGGACAACATGAAGCGTTTCTAAGATGACAACATTGCGGTGCAATTCAATGGCAGGGTTTGAAGATATCAATTTAACTTGTTCTCATTGTAAAACTGGTGGTTGATGTTTTCATCCATATGATTATTCTTTGCGCGTTCAACGCCCTGTGGGAAGAGGATTGTGGTAGTCATGTTTGCAAGATGGCCCAACCACCTGCCAGATGGTTCCAGTAGAATGGTGACACCATGCTGGTCGATTTGAGGTCGAGAGCTGTCAGGGTAGGAGTGGTAGGAAAACCAACCACAGCACTCCAAAGTGGCAGTGAATTGAAATTTCGGACTTTCCGAAGAATTGCTGGAACAACAGCAGTTGGAAACCAGGTGTCCACGGTTGCCTCTGGCGTCTGAGGCTATGGTTGTTCTTATCTGAAGACCTTGCCACACGACCCAGCCCCTCTGCGGCATGGGTATGGGAGGTCAGGGTGTCTGAAAGCTTGGAATCAGATTCAGAAACTGGACATCTATCATCTATCCAATTCCACCGTAGATAACTATAGGTACTACTACCAAACTGTACAGTATGCATACCTGAACATACGTATAGCAGCCCCCCCAAACATAGAAAAGTTAAATATTGTCAAAATAGTGATCAATTCAGCCCTTCTATCTTTTGTGGGATTAGTACATATATATATAAATACACATAAATGCAGAGCTAAGTGCCAAGGGATTTGGATAACTGACCCGAAGTCAGAAGGTTGAAGCCACTAAGCCGTCCGCAAAAGTTCCACTGACTGAACCTGATCATGCATATTTTTGATACCCAAAACTTGCATTGCATCATAGTTTCATGGTCGTCAGCCAAGGTGACTAGCAGCCTCTGGTGCAATGGATTGGAGGCCCGTAGCTGCCGTAGCCGCACCAGCCATTCCTGGAATGGTGATGGTGAGAAAAGGAACCCAGAAAATGGAGCAGCCATATGGGATTTATTGGGAGATAGTGGGATTCAATGGGATTTAATGGGAGATCATTACTGCAAACCTATTTTTGTTTGCCATTTGTTGGGAAATATGATGATGATAAAAAAGTGGATTTCGGGGTACACTATTTTCAGACAAACCAATATTTATGTAGATGAGGGATACATAGGATATTCACGTCGCTTCGCGACGGCAACCGCCCGCACCGCATCGTTGGGCAGCCGCTCGTAACTGCCAATGATGTCGGCCATTGAGACCAAAAACATCCGAAAGTACTGATTGTCGGAAAAAAAACGCGAAGAATTTGATAGCCATGTATAGCGGACCAACGCAGTTCAAAAAATAACGAAAAACATGAAAAAACGGCGAAATTGCTGTTATTTACAGTGTTTTTGCGCGGTGAGAAGCAGAAACCACTGCAAATACCATGGTTTTTGAGGGTCAGGTGGCCAAAAACACTGTAATTTACAGTGTTTTTTTAACCAACGTCAAAAAACACTGGTATTTACGATGTTTTCATTCACACCGTAACATAAAACAGTGTAATTTACGAGGTTTTTGGAAGTTTTGAAGCTAGCCGTCAAGCATGCAGAAAACAGAAAAACACTGTAAAAACAAGTGTTTCTGCTATCACAAAACGACGAAAATCAGTCCGAAAACGGGTCCTAAAACTCAAAATCCGCCTCCGGGCCCGGCCACCTGCGGAACCGCAAAAAAAGATGTTGCAAACCAAAAAATTGAGGTCAAAAAGTTGAAAAACATAGGGTTTTTTCACTTTTCGCTTGCCGATTTTGGACGGGCGCGTTCACGAACAGGTGTTTTCCGTACTGTTTTTTACAGTGTTTTTTGAAGGCGAGCGTCACGACCTATCAAAAACAGGAGGTTTTGGCCGAAAAATGCCCCCCCCCCCAGGTTAACCTGTAACCTTTTACGAGTGCCATCCGGAAGATCACGCCCCAGCACCTTCGGTGCGGGCGGATTTCACAAGAAAACCAGGGATATGTGGGGAACATCACCGTCATAATTGGGAATGTAACTAGTGAAAATAACAATCAGTGTAGGCATACAGATCTATGTACGTGCTCGGATAGATGGAGCGTTTGTTTATCAATGGTTTTTGCCATTTGCCATTTGCTGTCACAAAGGGGGTTCAGTCGCCCCTGCAGACTTATGCACACACCTAACTATGAAAAGTCGGGCCGGTCAGCCCTGAAAATCGGGGAGACGGCTGGAAAGAGCGCTAAAATTTGCCCCGGCATCAGCTGTGTTGAGCGGGTCAGATCTGGGTGCAGCTCAGTGCCTTCCATGCGTCACCAGCGGCTAGTCCGTGAAAGATCTTGCAAAAGCTTGGGAAAGCTTGGCCGGGCACTCCTGCCGTTCTGAACCGTCCATCAGGTCCTTTGCCAACAGTTGAAGTCTGCGGCTTCTCTGTGGCAAGGTCAGGAACTGAACGCATGGATCGAATCAGTTTCGGTAATCGAAGGGAAAGAAGTCCAGTGGGCTTCACAGCCTCGGCATGCCATTCCCATGGGTTGATAATACGTAGAGCTGCATCAGGGTGCTGGCGCATCAAAACGGTCGGGCGTTCAACATCCTGTGGAGGAGCAGGATGTTCTGAAAGATAGTAACCAGCACCAATGACATGATAAGCGAAAACCTGCAAGCCCTGCAAGTAGAAGCAGCTGCCGACTCTGGCTTGTCGGAGCTCCTTATCCGTAAGGTCCGGCAGGCCATAGATACCCCTGGGCCATTTCTGGCCCAGCGGCGGCTCCTGCTAACGTGCCTCAGAGAGTGTCTTAGAAGGCATTCCCAGCAGTGTGCAGGCAACCCATCGAGCCGCATACAGCGGCTGGAGATAGGTCCAGGCTTCGCAACTTGCCGTAGTGAACAGACACGGCGGCGTCCAACGACAGCATAGTTATATACTCCAATTCCATGTCGACGAGACCATTCATGTAGATGAAAATGAAGATTTCCATGTCGTGGACGGCCAGAAAACAGATGTGCAACCAGAATCGATTTGCGGCCCTGCGCATCGACAAAGACTGGAACCCTTGCCTCGGCTGGAAATTGCAACCATCTCGCATCTCGCAAGCTTCCCAACCAAAGCGTCTGCTCTTCATAGGCATGAGGAACATGTTGGCCTGTCCTGTCTGTAGTCTCTCTGCAGCATTCGCTGAACCACTTTTAGCAGGTCGATGAGGGACCCGGGGCTCCCGATGTTCTCGTTGAAGTCTCCTCAGCTTTGCCTGCAAAAAGGAGAGCTGAGATTCTGCAGTAGGGCGCGGCAGAAGTGCTGTGATCTCGGCAAAGGCATCCTCCAAAAGATATTCCACTTCACCATCCAGCTGTTCTTCAGCGATACTTGGGAGCTCATGCTGTCCCCACAATAGGAAAGCCATCTCAGCCCAATCATCCAGCTCCTGTCCATAACTGGTAATATGGCCGAACCACCAATCCACAAGTGAAGGCATACGATCTTGATCATGATGCTAGCAAAAATGTGAGCACCACATCCTTGTGCAACGTGTCAATGCAGCCCCAAGTCGTGTTCCTTCATCAACAGCGTTCTCAGGGCGAGGCCCTGACACAAGATCAGCTTCACAGGCTTCGATCTGTCGGTGAACTTCAAGAAGGGCACTGTCCAAACAAGGGGCCCGCTGCGCAAAGGGCGTCAAGACGTACAGCTCCGCGCAGATGTGGCGGCAAAGGCACACAAGCCGGTGTCGTCGTGAAGCCAATGCTCTGCAGGTACTGGTAGCACTGGTTGGGGGAGCCATCACGCGGCATATACATCAAATGTAGTCGTACCCGATGACTGGACCAAAGAAATTGGAGGCACGCAGGACAGACAGGACCATCGATCATCCCATACTCCGGTGCGTGTTCATCATGAGTTTTCCACTTGCAGGGCAAGGCCTTGTGGTGTAGTAAGCCAACGGTCACAGTGGCAACCATGTGACGCTTCCTTACTGTCCTTGCGTGACCACTCCCGATCTGGTGAAAAGCAAGCACCAGCATCCTTCAGTGTCCGATAGACACCTTGGTGTAACATCTCAATGTCCAGCATGATCTTCTCCTGAAGCAGATACTTGCGCCATGCTCGCTTCAGGAGTCGCTTCCATGGATAACGTGGCTTGCCATGCTTGAAGCAATCCAGTAAGATCACCATCACAATCAGGAGGAAGCTCGTTGGGGAGCAAGTCCTTGAGCCACTCAAATCTGCAAAAAGTCATGAAGCCATGACTCTGCGTGCGTCTCATGCTCACGTGGGAGAAGGTCCTGCAAAAAGGGAGGCTACATTGGAAAACTCTTCTCGCATACGCAAGCCGATCCATTGCTACGCGGGCACGAATATCTCCAGTGCCTGCCGGCACGAAAACCTGTTGGTTGGAGAGGTGCTCGCCAGGTTCAAGACTTTCTTCAGCATGTCCGGGTAGACAATGCGCAGGCGCTGCATCAATCGAGGCGAAGGTGTTTCCCAAGCACCAAGCCCGAAGAAAAGCCAGGGGCCAGCCAAAGAATGGAAGAGCCGTAGTCTCACGGAACGTGAGTAGTTCCTGATGCAAACAACTGCGCGACTCAATTGGCGGAATGCTCCCTTAGCTGAGCCAATGCGATGACGAAGCTCTTGCTCAAGGTTGTGCGTAGTGGAGTACGTGGTGCCTAGGTGTTTGTAGCAGGCAGATTCCTGACGGTCAGGGGCAACTTGAATAGAGATGCCAGGCTTGTCACAAAGGACAAACTTCTTTCTCATCTCCACAGTTCTTGGTCCGCGAAAGGAGACCTGCCTCAGTCTTGCCTCTGTCATAGTTGACATCAAAACCATACTCCGCAAACTTCATGTTGATAATCTCCATGGCTTTCTTCAAAGCATCCGGGTGTGGCCCAAACCATAGCAAGATCATCAGACCAAACGACAATAGGAGCGTCAATCTGTGCAGTTTGCAGCAGCTGTGTACACTCTTCTTGAGTCAAAATCCATTGGCGCAAAATGCTGGTGATTGCTCCCATCAGAATGTGAAACACAGCGTCGGCTTGCAGTTGCGGCACAAACTGCATAGGTTGATTCGTGGCCATGTCATGTGCGCCGTCCATGGTGTGTCTGGCGGTGGCAGAGGAGGCTGCGGGAACGATGCTCCTTTCCCCACTGCAGGCATCATCATATTCTGTGGATATTCTGTGGTCCAGTCTGACCTTGTACATCTTGTCCTTGGCCACCCCGCACTGCGGGGTTTGACGAGGCGACTTGGCTCTTTGTCTTGGGGATTGTTGGCCATGCCATTGGTCCCATTGCTGATAGTCCCAATTCCCCTTGGTTCTGCCAATTCGCAGCATAGCTCTGAGCGTCTTGCTGCGGAGGCTTGTTCCGGGGCTGATGAACATACTACTGATCGTAGCAAGCTTGTCAAGGTTGCTGACAAATGAGGCAAAACTGGACGGAATGTTTCCTTATTTGCATGCACCTTCGACAGCGCCACGGAGAAGCATCTCCTCCCTTCATGGCTTCCTGAACCACCTTCACAAACTGCGGATCGTGTGAATGGTGCTCCCTCAAGAGAGAGATGATCTGCTTCAACCTTGTTTGCCCAAAGTCAAGACTCCACGGCGATGTAGATTGCACTGTTGACGTGCCAAAGCGCGCGCCCTGCGCTGTGCCCGTCGACGGGTATTCAAAGTCGTGGTAGATGTCAAAGGCAAAGAGGAGAATCTGGAAGAGGTAGCGCCACACCACCATAAACCAGCCAGGAAGACATAGGAGCCGATGAAGCCAGTGCACCCGGGATTGGTAACGCAGCCGGGACTGCAGCACAGGTGATGCTCAAAGAGCAGAGCACAGCCAATGGGGCACACCAGGGCGGTACCAGTTCAGTGAAGCCACCAAAAGCGGTCAAGGCCGAAGACAAAGACAAAAATGGCCCGCGGGGTGGAAATCACAAGACCCCGCGGGGCGCCCTTGGACACGCTAGTTACCGCTAGTTGTCCGTTGAACCCAAAACCTTTTATCAATGGTTTCATGAAATAACAAATGCGAAACCCTGAGTTGCGTGGAATTTTAACACTGGCACAGTGGTCCCCCCAAAAAATTATGCACACACACACAGCGTAGATGATAGGCAGATAGGTCTACCGATATATCGATAGACAATCCAGAACCGCTCTGGGACTTTCCATACATGGGTGCTAGAGAGAATGCTCCTGAACTCTTAGAGTGTCCCGAAAAAATGAATGAATCCTGGCTGGCAGGATCTGTTTTCGCCCTTGTCGTACCTGTGTCCAGAGTCCTGTGGTTGCCGGGAGACGCTTTCGCACAAGTGCCCCCTGAGCTGTGTTACTTGGAAGTTGGGTCAGGGGCCATCCAACTTTGGAGGTGAAGTATCGCCATAGCCATTTAGATCATTAGGGCGCTGTGAACATCAGGGATGGACCCCCAATGTATTGAAATTTGAATGGGAAAATTATTTTGAACCGCTGTGTATTGAGTCTGTTCCCGAGTCACATGACATTGTTGTTATATTATCCCCATTCCATCCCACTCTATCGATGATTTTCCCGTGACTGCATATCCCCACTTGGCGGTTGGAACATTCTAAGGGGCCACCAGCAGTTGGATGCACTATGTGCAGAGTAACATGCCACAAATACACAAGTATAGCCAGATGGATGGTTTTGTAGATGTAAAGATTTATACATGCAGAGATGTAGAGATGTGTGCATAGATATACGTGCACACACACAAACATACACATGCACATGCAGATTCACAGACACACACACAAATGCACAGCTACGCGGCTACACGGCTACAGGGCTAGATAGATAGATCGATGAATGGGTGGATAGATAGATAGAGATAGATAGAAATAGATACATATAGAGGAATATAGATACATATAGAGAAATATAGATATATATACATAAATATAGATAAATGTAGAGATTATAGAGACATATAGACAACTAAAAATAAATATGGATAAACGTAGATAAACATAGATAATATAGATACATATAGATAAATATAGATAAATATAGATGAATATAGATAAATATAGGTAAATATAGATAGATATAGATAGATATAGATAAATATAGATAAATATAGATAGATATAGATAAATATAGATGAATATAGATAAATATAGATAGATATAGATAAATATAGATAAATATAGATGAATATAGATAAATATAGATGAATATAGATAAATATAGATAGATATAGATAAATATAGATGAATATAGATAAATATAGATAGATATGGTTAAATATAGATAAATATAGTTGAATATAGATACACATAGATAAACATGGATAAATAAAGGTAAATGGGTAGATAGATATGGGTAGATATGGGTAGATAGGTAGGTGGACAGGTAGATATAGATAGATAGATGCATCCATCCATCCATCCATCCATCCATCCATCCATCCATCCATCCATCCATCCATCCATCCATCCATCCATCCATCCATCCATCCATCCATCCATCCATCCATCCATCCATCCGGCATATTTGTTTGCAGGGGTTACAATATTAGTAGACACACAGATACACAGATAGACGCAACATGATGACATGACTTGGCATGGCATGGCGTGACGGCTTCGCTGCGCCCAAGGCACTGAACACCACGAACACAACGAATTCGTACGGCTACAGTCGCTGACCCTCAGTGAAGCTGACGGTCAGTCCACGTCAAGTCCACGTCAAATGGTACGTAAACGTGGCGAAAGATCAGTCTATGCGGCGAACCATGGGGTGCGCCAGAAAAACGACTGCTGATGGCTTCAGGATCCCAATGCAGAAACCTTTCACGGAGTCTGCTGATGCGACTTTAAGACTGCCCAAAAATGGGATTTTGGTGATTCTTGGCAGTTGTGTAGCCGAAGTAGACTTTGCCAAAAACATATTTCCGCCAATTTCTAGTTGAATATATCAACCAAGGCTGAGTGGTCTAAAACTATAGACTAGTGCTGACTACTTCGTTCCCATCCAACTGAAATTAATCCAGCTGAAAGGGTGATATCGAAGTCGAAACTGTCAACTTGTTCTGCAAAAAAGGTGTATTCCATATCACAATTTTGTACCTGAACATAGCTTCAGATTCAGAGAACATATGATCTAGACATGGAGATTGGGAGCTACATAGAACTAGAGCAGATATGAACGCAAGGAATATCCGATCAAGTCGTGTGATAGAAATGTTTGCCGCTTAGACCATTTTGGCTCAGTGACCACGTTGAAGTTCGCCGTTTGCTACCACTCCGCCGTTGAAACTCCAAACCATTGAGCAGCTTGGCTACCTCGAAGTCCTCAGATAGGTAGCCTCTGGTGATTCAACAGTTTGCCATGGAAAGATCCACCCATTTTTAATAGGTAAACCGTTGGGTAAACATAGGTAAACCATCTATTTCGACTAGGGCCATCTATGGCGAAGTGTGAAAGTCACCAGGTTGGGTAACTCCGAAGCTGTTGAACCCCTGGTGTTGGCCATGGCGAACGGTCCAGGTTATGGCATTTGTCACCAAGAAGGACTCAGGAGTCAAGACCGTCGTTAAGGCCGACTGGGGGAGCCCTGGGAGCTCTGGGTGGCCCTATTGGAACTGTCGGAGCTGTTGGGACCTGTTGGGACCTGTTGGCCCGGTTGGCTGCTCAGATTGTGATTGGTAAAGCCATGAAATCCATGGCACAATGGTTTTCATGGCACACGGTGGATGTTGGGACTCAGCGGCCAGCGGCGCCAGCGGCCAGGGCTTCTTGACGGGAGGCACACAGGCGGCCATTACTTATCCCACGGAGTACGTGAAGACCCAGCTTCAGTTGCAGTCGAACTTTGGCTGCAACAAACATGGGTTTGGTACCTGAAAAAAGGGGGATAACCCTGGTGACTGGTGACCCCCTGAGTTATGGCATTTGTTCAAGGGAAAACGATGTTCTTCACCATGGGATGTTGGGGTGAAATATTCTCGGACAGACAGATATTGATACCCTCTGGTAAACTAACATAGCTATTGAAAATGGTCATTTATAGTGGATTTACCCATTAAACATGGTGGATCTTTTCATAGTTATGGAAACGTTTACCGGAGGTATCTTCCTCCATCGTTCCTGGCGCGTTGACTCGTGTCACCGTCGATCTTCTCCAGGAAGAGCAATCCCGAGTACAACGGCATCATCGACTGTGCTAGGAAGACGATGGATCAGCATGGCGTCAAAGGTGCCAATATCAATGGGTCAATGGGTCACTTACTTGGGACGACTGGTGGTTAGACATGGTGATCCTATGGTGATAGTGGTTCATCCCCCCAAGTCTGATGCTAATCCAAAATCGCCCCATCCCTGAAACCTTGGTTTAGTCACAGATGATTTGTTTTGGCAGATTCATCCCGGGTTACTCTCTGAAAGTCAAAGCTGGAACTGGAAACTTCCTCATGACTATCCACTGATAGCTATCCACTGATAGCTATCCACTGATAGCTATCCACTGATAGCTATCCACTGATAGCTATCCACCGATAGATTTTCCATATATTCTTCAATGATTTTCACATATCACAGTGAATCATTTTTCCAGGACTTTACCGCGGCGCTGGCGTGCGGATCATCGGAGCCGGCTTTCAGCAGATGTGCAGGTGGCTTTTTGAAAAACACCCGGCCATGGGGGGGGGGATTACCCGGCCTGGTAAACATACCAAAAGCTATCCAAAATGGTCATTTATAGTGGATTTTCCCATTAAACATGGTGATTTTCCAGTTCGCTATGTAAACGTTTACCAGAGGGTACTGAGGTTTTTCACTACGGCTTGTTGGATGATACTGGTAATAAATGGTTAACAAAAACTAGTGATGTTGATGGTCTTGAACTATTCTTGTGCATTCTTTTCCAATATTCATTGCCCAACGTTTGACGTGAACAGCGAACGATTAAACATGTCACAGCTGCCAAGTCTAACACTTTCTATTGTTTGTGTTTGTTTGAGAATATGATATCCCAAATTTTGCAGCTAATCCGGCTTAATTTTCTCCATTCAAACTGCCCTGTGTTGGAGGTTAAATTGGCATTTTCAGGTACCACAGCAAAATTGAGAGTAGTTTTTAAATGCCATTCCCCAGTTCATCCCTATCAATATAGATATTTAATGATATTTAATTTATAGATTATTTTGCCCAGGATTTTCCCCAAAAATATCCCCATGAATGATATTTATAGATGATTTTGCCCAGGGTTTTCCCTAAGAATATGCTAAGAGTTCCCCATGTGCTCAGGTGGGGAGCTTATACCAACCTCACACAGATCTTTCGAGACCCAGAGACCGGTTCCTCGGCGTGACGCTGGTGGTGATGACCATGGCTGGAGGGGTTTGATTTTTCCAAGACAGTCAACAAAGACATAGCAAAACCCAGGGTTTTTAATATGTTTTACTGTATCATAATTTCTATATATATATATATCCATAAATAGCTGGGTTTCGAGCAACTACTTCAGGGTATAGGTTGGGGGTTCAAGCAGCAAAAAATGGTGTGCCCAGCGAGAAAAAACTTGCTCAGTCTCTTCAACAGCATTTTTGTTCACCAAAGCTTTGTTGGTAAAATTCTTCTTGGATCAAATCCAATCTCCAATGACGTTCAACCACCGTTTTTGTTACCGCTCTAAGCGTCCCCAATCGTTTGAATTTACTGTTCTTGATCTAACCCCCAGTAATTAGTTTAGAAACCCATTGCTGTTGCTTAAATCCCGTTTCTAGAATTTGTTTCATGTTCTCTTTTAATCTCCGGGTCTTCGAATGGTGTGTTGCTATTTGCCGAGCCCAACAAGCGGAACGGAACCGCAACGCAGGACCCCTGAAACCTTGCAACCTGCTGCGAAGCTGGGTTATCGAATCATATCCCATCCCTATTTTTGGGGACATCTCAATTTTTGGTTCAAACTTCCGATTTTTCCAGAGATTTTGTTGAGATTTTTGTTGGGATGATGCCCATTGTCCAACCAGGCAAGTTGAGCCAGATGAACAACGTGATCTGCGGCCTGGGTGCTGGGATCTGCGAGGCGGTTTGTGCCGTCACGCCTGTGGAGCGGCCTGGTGGCAGGGGATGGGATACCAGAGCCTCCATGGAGATTTGGTGATTTAATGGGGATTCAATGGTGATTTCATGGTGATTTGATGATTTCATGGTAATTTCGTGGTGATTTACTGATGATTTTCATGGTGATTTGATGGACTGGTCAGATATTAGTACTCAAGACTGGGTTTAATCAGCACTTGGGGGAAAAGTTGTGTTTTTGAAACAATCAACATGGCGATTTAACCAACAAATATAGTGATATAAAAGGGGGATAAGACCAACAATAGGATATTCGGGTGTGTCTGAAAATGATTTAACGGTGATTTACACAGTAAAGGGGGATATAATTAATGGATATTAATGGATATTGATGGGATTTTACGCAGCAATAGATAGTAAACCAGTTCTTTTTGGGGGTTCAGCATCTCTGGGCGCAGGGCTCCGTCAAGCTTCACCAATTTTGAGGCTGTTCAAATCTTGCTTTAATAGTTGAATCAAGGTTGTATTGATGTGGTAAACGTTGTGAACCCAAGAGCACAACATACCGAATTTTGCATTTGGTAGACAGTTGCGTGGGAATCGTGGAATAGTTCAAGAGAATTGACCAGTGACAGAACAACCTAGTCCAATGTAGTAATGGATATTCCATACGAACGCTCATATAGATTTTATAATTGTCTTTCCATACTTTCTAAAATAGGTGCTACACCCCTAAGAACTGCCGCTTTTAATCTTTGGATTGATGTGTTTTTGTTTGGCGAACTGCAATAAGCGGATGCCATTTTGTGCACCTCCAGAGAGGCCAGAAGCGCACCAGAGAACACCATTGCTGGATCTAGCAATCGAAGGGAATTGGGGAATTTAAAGAAGTGAAGCTAAGCTACCCACCTTGCCAAGTTGTATGTTTTTCAAGATTTTCCTCTGATTGACCTCTCGGAATCCTCAGAATTGTAACTTTTGTCCTGGCGTTGCATAATCCGCAAGAGGATGATCATCGATTGACAAATCAACCTGACAAGAGAGCCCTACAAGCTGCGAAACATTAATGATATGCATTGTTTCTTCTTTTGGGATAGGCCAAGCTATCAGTTTGGAACACAATTCTGTATGTCTAGTGATCTACCCTTTCGCTCCAAATCTCCGGCTAAGGACGGTCAAGACACGCGTCACCGATGATCAGCGAAGAGGAACTGGCAACTACAAGGCCGTGAAGCGATACCGGCAATCCAACCATCAGTACATCTCGGGGTTTCTTTATCCAACCATTTTAGTACAACTGGTTACTTCTTGGTAGAATTTTCCCTTCCAACCATTTGACCAAAGGACAGTTTTTCTTTAAAGGGACGCAACAAAAAGGCAGACATGGCATTCGTAGACAATGCAGACATTGGGGAATGCTCTGGGTGATTTGGACATACTTCCTGTTGTTCCTGTCCCTGTTCCTGTTGTTCCTGTTGTTCCTGTCCCTGTTCCTGTTCCTGTTCCTGTCCCTGTCCCTGTCCCTGTCCCTGTTCCTGTTGTTGTTGTTGTCGTTGTCGTTGTCGTTGTTGTTGTTGTTGTTGTTGTTGTTCTTTTCTGCCTTTCTTTGTATCTCTATGGGTCCCAAACTGGTTCAACTGATTGTCAAGTAACAAGTTCCTTCAACAGGTAGCCACAATCACACACACAAACACTGACATGTGAATCTGCAAAGAATCTTACTC